TCAAAAGTTAGTTAGCACTATAAACTAATTCAGCTATTTCTCCAACAAGTTGGAAAGGAAGAGAGAGGGGGAAAACTTGTTTTATTTTTAAATACGCATAAAATGTCCAGATACTGCAGTGACAGAATAGAATAGATGGATGGATGAGCTTAGTATAAAAAGCAGGGCTTTGGCAGCGGAGCCCGGAGCTGGAGCACGGAGCAGTGGAGCTGCAGGTTTTTGCCCGGAGCTATAGTAGAGCCGGAGCACAGAAAATCTTGACTGCTCCAGTTTTTTTTTTCATTTTCAATCCAAAATGAATGATATTTAGCAAGAAAGTCCTAAAGGTGCCAAAAAGTTTTAGATTGTATAACAATTGATATTCACATCTACGTTACCACTTTACGTAATATGTCAGTTATTCTCACTTCGGCCGAAATCAAGATTTAATGTACAGATACAAAATTACAACGTTTTTTGGAGATAGTTATCTGATTCTTTAATAAAACATATCAGACATCCGGCAACACTGCAGACTGCTCCCACCCTTGTGCCAAGGTTAGGCGAGTATGTACTCCCGTAGATTAGTTAGATTAGTATGTGTTGATACTTCTTTTGTAAGGGTTGATCAACGAGATGCACTGAGTGCTGCGATTACGGAAAAGTGTGATGCAAGACGCAACATTTAAGATGCCACAAACAGGTATATTGCAAAAAAAAATGTTTTTGTTTATTGCTATATTAAGATATCGCAAGACATATTAACCACTTAAGCTCATTTCTCACACGGGCTCCCGTTACCGGTACATTTGTTCATTTGTACATGCTCCTGTATCACTCTGGTGGACTTAATTTATATGTCATCTGTTCAACGGTCTTTTGGTGGTAGTGTTGTTTGTTTGTAATTTTAAATTTATTGAAAAAAATCACGTGCAGCAGGCATATAAATATACAGTAAACATTTTTGCATAAATTAAGAGTGATTTTTGTGATATATCCAGAGTGATTGGAAAATGTCCAACACAACTTTGGGGGTGGATCCTTACGTCATTTTAGGAAAAAACGTTTTTGTGAACACGTGTCCTAAAATTCTTCCTAAGGGAGCTACAGTCCCTTCAAGGAGGTGATGAAAAGTTAATTTCTGATTAATATCTCAAAAACGCTTCAATATAAAGTAATGAAATTGTCTGTGTCTTAGCGTTAGTATGTGCTACCATATTACATTATCCAAAATTATTTAAACCATAGGCGTCCCAAACTGGCGGTTGCTCATTTTTAGTTCATATTTCAAGAAAGGCTTGTTGTCGACTGCCCCGACTACGAGGTAATATTATGTTCCATAATAAGTTGTTAATTTTTGGTGGTCATTTATTATTGCGTTTAAAATTTATGGTTCCAAAGTTGAAAAATAAGTAATAAGTAAAATTGTTTGCATCATTCTAAGCATTTAAGCAGATTAAAATTTTTAAACAGTTTTCTCGGAAATGGTTAATTATACAAAATACATTGAGTACCATTTTAATGCATGTTTTAGCATTAAATCATATTCTATCTGTTAAATAGTCGAAGATTTAAAAAATATTAAATAAAATTGGCCTAGCCCCCCCACCCCCATGACGTTGGAAATAGACTTTAACAGGAAAGCAGATTCAAACTGCAAGCACAGTCCTTTTTAGTAAAAAGAGCAAATTTTTGGAAATAAGTTTTTCCTTCATCAGGCTGGAAACATACAAGATAGAACCTGTTGTTTGCTCTGTCTTGTATAATCTATTCAGGGTGATGAAGGAAAAACATATTTCCTAAAATTTGCTCTCTGTTACAGGGACTGTGCTCGCAATTTGAACCCACTTTCCCGTGAAAGTTTATTTTTAACCTTGTAACGTGTAGCCTTGTTACTTCCCAACAATTAATGTTGTAGAACAGCGATAGCATGTACTAATGCTATGGCACATACCAAATTTCATTGACATATCTGTATTAAAGCATTTGAGATATTAAAAACGTGGAAAATATTTCAAATATTTTTACTGCAAAATTTCATAAGAAAAACTAATTTGCCATTTATAAATATTTATGTATATTAAAATACTTATTACTTCATTAAAACTGCAAGAAACATGTTAAAATATTAAAATATACTTTAATTTGTGTAAAAAGAAAATGCGATCATTTTTGTCCAGAAAACCCAAAATAAATTCTAAGTACCTTAATTGGTTAAGATATCACAAGCAGGTACATTATAAAAAGATGTAATGCTTTTGTTCATTGCTTTTTGAAGATCATAACAAGAAACATTTGGATGCGGTAGCAGCACAAGAAGATTTGGCCATGGCTTCAACAAAAAAATCAAATCTGCCCCCCATGATTGATAGCCGATTTACGGAAAAGGATCTCAATGACGTCTTTACTTTTGAATTTGAAAAGCCCAAATTTGGGCTTTTGGGAAAAGCAAAGAAGAAATCGGCAACGTGCAAGGTGGAAAAGGAAGTGAATGGCGAGCTCAAACCATGTAGCTTCAAGACAAGTGAAGCAAGTGCCGTGAAAAGTTTCAACCTTTGGCGGCATGTAAAACGTAACCATCCTGAAAACTATGCGGCTCTGGTTACAAAAAAGAACCAGGAAGATGAGGCAAAACAGAAAGCTGACGCAGCTAAACGACGTTCATCTGGCTCTTTGAAAACTCCTGGAGAAAAGATTTTTTGCGGCGCTTCATCTGAAAAGAAACCCAAAATTGAGCAAACAAAACTTGACTCATGTTTGAAGTCCTCAAAGGTTACAGTCACCATGGATGCCAATACTTTCCGTGAAGGGCTGATGGAAATGGTTTGCTTGAGTTCAACACCGCTCACTACCTTCAGGCTAAAGAACAAAGGATTCCAAAAAATTGCAGGTGAAATGGGTCGGCAGCTTGGCGTTTCGACGGGGCACGATGCGGTTCGTCATTTAGTTGTCAGCACAGCTGAGTCTGGTCGCAAAGAGCTCAAGAAAGCTTTGGAGCAAAAATTGTGCTACCTGAAAATGGATGCGGCAACCCGTGGAAACAGAAATTTCCTTGCAATCAATGCTCAGTACTATGAAGAAGGAAAAGATAAAGCTGTGGTAAAAACCTTGGACGTAATCGACACTGAAGGGTGTCACAATTCTTCGTATGTGAAAAGTCAAGTAAAAGCTATTTTAGAAAAATTTGGGATCAGTGAAATGCAAGTGCTGAGCATCTGCGTTGACAATGCAGCAAACATGACGTGTGCTGTCAAAAATTTCAGCGAGGACAATGAAACCATTTCAACCTCTGAGAACAGGGATGTGGACAGAACTGAAGCTATGTTGCCTGATGAAGGAGCTAAAGGAATGAATGAAATCGAACTCAATGTGGATGCTGCTGCACAATGGGTTAATGACCCTAGCCTCATACTTCCAACATGGCTTCATGAGGATGACTCAAAAGTCCAACTGATGAGGTGTGGTATTCACACTCTTCAGTTGGCAATCTGGGATGGACTGAACAAAGAACACGCGAAGAAATTTCTGGCAAAAATTCGACAAGTCGTTGTCAAACTACAAACCCCAAGTATTCAAAGCGTTCTGCTTGATCTACATGGAGTAACTCAATCATTGGATACTGTGACTCACTGGGGTTCAACATTTGTGATGATTGATCGGCTTCTCGTTTTTCAGTCTTACTGTGAACAAATGGCTGCTGCTGGAACAAGAGAACTCAAGTTAACAAAAGCTGAATGGGACGAAGTGAAGAACCTGCGAGACCTCTTGGCAAAGCCAAACCAAACAACTGTGAATCTTCAAGCTGTTGATGTAACCCCCGGAGTGTTAATGAAGGAATGGCGAAAACTGTCAAAATTCTTGCAAGAAAATGGTGGACAAATTGCAGAAGGAATTCTGTCCTCCATGCAGAAACACGAAGAGAAGCTTTTTGACAATATTCATTTCCTTGCTGGAGTTTATGTTGACCCACGGTATCGGATTCTTCTTACCTCAAGGGAAATACCAAAGGCAAAGGAAGGCCTCCTTGATATTGCTCGACGACTCGAAAAACAAAATTTATTGCTATATTTGAACTCAGCGAAAGAGGTTGAAGAAAATGAAACACAACAAAAGGAGTCAACAATTGAATTTGCGGTTTCTGAACATCCTTCAGAAGTAGCAGGCTGTTCTCAAACTTCCGTCTCCCCTCTGAACTTGTTCGAGCGTCCATCCGTGAGACGTCTTCAGCCATCACGGGGAAATGGAGATAATTCAAGCATCGATTCTTCAGAAGATGACGACTTCGAAAAGGAATTGGATAAACAAGAAAGACGCCAGCGAGTTTCTGCGATTCATAATTGTAATGAAGCATTATTTGAGAGAAACTTTCGGGAAGATTGTGAGGCGATGGAGTCTATTGGTAGGCTAAAAGTTAAGTCTGTTTTTGAGGCCATTCTACAGCTACCCACACCGCATTCAGGCTGCCTGTAGAATTGCTTC